TCTCGCTCTTCTCTCAGGTGAATCAGCAGCGAGGGTGAAGAGTTCACCATAGGCTGGCGATGCCAGGTTCAAGCCCACAGAGCGGGTGGGTGTTCACCCCAGCTCTGCCACTTTACATTCAGCTTGGCTAGAGGTGCTACCTCCTGAATCACTCATTAAAGGCACCGTTCTCATCGGCAGGACTGCCCCATCCCTGCTTGGCGCCACTTGGGAAACTAAAAATTGTTGAGGAGAACAGTGGTTCCTTGACTTGGTCTTCTGTTACAACCGCTTGGGGGAATGCTTTTTAAAATGCCAGTGACTGGGCCCCGGCACCTGCTTTTCCTGACAGAACTGGTCAGGAGTGACATGAAGGTGTCATAAATGCTCCCTTTTGACCCTGCTTGCAGTTGGGTGAGAGCCACGGTGTGTGTCAGCTTCGGCCTATGCCAAACTCACCGCAGGGCCAGGCCTAGGGATCCACTCTCTAAGCAGCTCCTGTGTGGTGGTGGCAGCAGTGCTGAGCCAGGGACCACCCCTGGACAGCCCCAGTGACCTGAGCGCCTCAGCAGCTTCTCTTCTTGGGACTTCTCCCCCTCTGGGGCGGCTCCGGGTGTGGCCTGAGGGAGCCCCCTGCATCACCACAGCCCCAAGGTGTGGTCCTCACCTGCCCCCACCTGCAGGGTGAGAGCCTGGGCAAGTGTGGCCCACACCAACACCCACACGCGGGCTTCCCTGACTGGCAAGTGGGCTTCATGCAGGGAAAGTCAGCTCTGGGGCTTCGGCTGGAACCCTGGGGATAGGAGTCAGGCCGGCAGGGTAGGTCTGGGGCTCCCCGTGACCAGCATAGAAAGTCTCCTTTTCATTCTCTGGATCCAGTCAAATCCGAAGTCTAGACCTAAACGTTTCACTTACACAAGCCAATAGAATTTCTCTTCGCTAAAGCTTACTTCAGGAGGATATTTTTTGTACGCAGCTCAGAGTGGGCAGACCGCGTGGGACCGCAGAGCACTTCCCACCGGCCAATAGGATTCCAGACTCTCCAGGGTGCCGCTCTGCTCCCATCAGGCCACTCTGCTCCCACCAGGCCGTGATCTCAACAAGGCTCAGAACCAAGCAGCTCAACTCTTAGAGGTCACTTTGTCCCATCCCTCCTTGCTTCTGTGGGAAGAACGGAGCTCCAGGGGGCAAGGACTCACTCTTAATCACGCACACAACAAAGCCAACTGGGACTCCAGCCTTTGGCTCTGTCAATAAATCCACCCATGCCGGTGGGTGATAGCAGCCAGTAGGCACTGCCAGCTACCACCACGGCTCACCAAGGACACCCTGAGGGCAGGGCTTCCTTGTGCTGCGTGGAAAGGGTCATTGTCCTCTCTCCACACCACTAGTTTCTCTCATTGCAATGAAAGAAACACACAGTTGCTGGCATTTTTAACGATAATGAAATATATGCACAAGACAAGTTTTTTTTCCCCAGGGGACACAACTCAACAAGACAAAACTTTCCTGTCATCTTACCACTGAGCCAACAGCCTATAAGTAGGGCATATGTTGTTTTAGGCTTATTTTTCCTGTGAAGAAGAATAAGAGGCAGAGCAGAGATTCCTTAGAGGACCCAAGCTGCCCTCTTGGGAAACCCCCTGGGGCAGGTCTTGGAAGTGGACACTGTGAAGGCCCAGAAAAAGCATGAGTGCTTGTAATGGGGTTGCAGGCCAGGAGCTGAAAATGGCCCCTCAGAAGGGCTATACCAAGGAGACACCAACAAGAATTGTCACCGTGCCCCTGCCTGCGTCAGAGTCTTGTGGAAGAGCATTTTAGAGCCTGTGTTTCCCACTAACTCCCAGGAGAGGAAAAACAAAAGATCTGACATATCCAATTTTAGGGGAGGAGACCAGAGGTGGAGTACAGGACAGTGGGGAGCAACGGAGTCCCTTCGTGGAATGAGGGCATCTTCAGGAGGAATAAGGGGTGCTGGGCAGCCCCCATCCAAAGCCACCAATCAGCACTCCCAGAAAGGCCAAGAGCCCAGGCGGCAGCTGCTTTTAGGGGCCAGATTGAACTAAACCTGGAGACAGGTCCTGACCTAGTACCCAGAACACTGTTGATGAACGTGGAGAGATCCCCTCGTATCTGAGTGTGTGTGGGTCTAGAACTATGTGTCACGGCTGTGGGAGAGATTATTCCTTTTCACAAAGCACTCTGAGAACACATGCAGGACCAGCCAAATGGCATGCACCATGATCGATACAGTGGTGTCTGCAGAGGGTGGGCACTGGACCTGGACCTGGGCCTGGACCCAAGGCTCTGGTGGTTGTTTCCAGGCACCTGTCTCTAGGCAACTGAGCTGCTTGGCTCCCACAGAGTACTTGTGTGGCAGGGCCAGCTATGGCAGGGCACCTAGTGATCAGGTTTCCAGGTTTTGCCCCTTTGGTCTAAATAACTCTCCTGGGAGAGAGGATCCCTTGGAGGGAAGAGGGTTGTTCTCAGGAGTGGTAGAAGGGAGCTCAAGGCAGCCAACCTTAGTAATAAGAAGTCATGTGACATGGCATCATTCTACATGAAAACCCATGCACCAGAATGGGCACCCATCCTCTACTGGCTACACTCATGTGTAGTTCTTGAATTCACCTCACCGCTTTCCACTGTATGCAACAAGCGTGTGTGTGCTTGCCCACTGCTTTGCTCAAATTCAGGTAAACCACGTCACTGTTGGTTCCTTGTCCAGAGGAACGTCAAACCTGGTGTCATGTACACACCAAACATTACAAGTTTGAGCCCAGCCTGGGAAACCTAGTGAGTTAGTGAGACACTGTCTCAAAATAAAAATTTTAAAATGTCTGGAATGTACTTCTGCAGGAAGGGCCTATGAAAGTGAGGGGGAGGGGGGAAGGAGGAGGAGGAGGAGAGAGAGAGAGAGGGAGAGAGAGAGAGAGAGAGAGAGAGAGAGAGAGAGAGAGAGACTCACTTATTAAAGGAAAGAGAAGAAATTAAGCCCTTTGCATGTGTCACTCAATGTTTAAAACATGTGGCCCATTACAGAAAAGACTGGCTAACCTTTGACACAGGTGTAAAGTAAGCCTGGAAACTACTCAGATTCAAATCCTGCTCCCTTTTTATTAGTATATGTTTGTGACACGTAATAATTAGACTCATCTTGAGACTTCAGTACATATACCTAGAAATCTTGGCCATCCTCATGATTCTTTCTCCATCCTCCTCCAATCTGTTTCCCATCTCCACAGGATCTATCTTCCTGCTTCCTACTGCCTCTCTTTTATTCTGCTTTCTAAATTATTTATATTATGGGTCACTCATATCAGAGGAACCATTTGATATCTAAATTTCTTTTATTTTATTCAGTATTATGGTCTCAAGATCTATCTTCCTACAAATTACTCTAATGCATCCTTCTTTGTGGCTGAGTTGTACTCCATTAAGTGTACATCACCTTTTCTGTACCGTGCATCTGCTGGTGAGCATACAGGTCACCTCCACAGTTCAGCTCTCGTGAATTGTGCTGCTGTGAGCATGGGTATGCATTTATCCTTGCAATATAACGTCTATAACTCTACTTGGGAGATACCTGGAAAGGCAAGAGCTGGGTTGAATAGATTCCTTTTTTCTTTTCTTTCCCTTCTTTCTCCTCCTCCTCTTCCTCTCCTCCTCCTCCTTCTTCTTTCTCTTCTTCCTCCTCTTCTTCCTCTTCCTCTTCTTCCTCCTCCTCTTCCTCTTCCTCTTTCTCCTCCTCCCTGTCCCCTTCTCCTCCTCGTCCTCCTCATCCTCCTCATCTTCCTCATCCTCTCCCTCCTCCTCCTCCTCTTCCTCTTCCTCTTCCTCTTCCTCTTCCTCTTCCTCCTCCTCCTCCTCCTTCTTCTCAAGACAGGATATCACCATGTAGCTCTGTCTGGCTTTGAACACACTATACAGTCCAGGATACTTGACCTCACAGCAATCCTCCTGCCCCAGCCTCCTGAGCGCTCAGATTACATCAGATGGAATTCCTAGCTTTATCTTTTCTGAGAAATCACCATATTGGTTTCCATGGTGATTATACTTATTTACATCCCTACCAACAAAATAGAAAAACCTTTTACCCTGCAACTTCACCAGAATTTGTTGTTCTTCTTGAGACCTTGACAATAGCTGTTTTTACTGAAGTAAGATGGAATCTTAGTGTTATTTGATTTCCATTTCTCTATTGGCCAAAGATGCTGAATATTTTTCATGTACTTATTAGGCATTTGTACTTCTTCCAAAAAAATGTGTATTCAATTATAATTGTACTTTTTAATTAGTTCTTTTCCTTTAGGGGTACTTTTCTATACATATTCTAAATATTAGTCTTCTACTTATTATTGGACTCATGACCTTACACTTGCCATGCATGTGGTGTGCCACTGAGCTAAATCCCCAGCCCCAATCTTCTGTTTGAGGAGTAGTTGGAAATGTTTTCCCTATTCTGTATGTTGTTTCTCCACTCTATGGGTTGTTTCCTTTGTTGTGTAGAAGCTTTTGAAATTTACATAATCTCATTTGTGATTCTAGGTATATCTTGTAAAGCTGGAGTTCTAATCAGTAAGTCCTTGCCAGGACTATGTCTTCAAAAGTTTCACATTTTTTTTTTCTTCCATTAAATTCAGTTCTGTTTTTATATCTAGGTCTTTACTCCATTTTGATTTGATTTTAGTACAGACAAGGGACATGGATCTAAAGCCATTCTTCTGCATGCAGATTACCAGTTTTCCTGGCATCATTTGTTAAGAGGCCATCTTTCATCTGGGTATATTATTGGTCCCTTTGTCAAAAATCATGAGGCTGAAGGTGCTTGGGGCTGTTTCTTTATCCTCTATTCTATTCTGTTGGCCTACATGTTTGTTTCTGTGCTGGTACCATGCTGTTCTTATTACTGTAGCTTTGTAATAGAATCAGAAACATGAACTTGTGATGCTGCCTGCTTGGCTCTTCTTTGGATCTTCTGAGTCTCTGATGGTTCCATATAAATTGTAGAACCGATTTTTTTTACTTCTCGGCTTTTTGGCTAAGATCAAGTGTAGAATTGATTTTTTTTAGTTCTTTGAAAAAACGCAAAGGGTATTTTTATTAGAATTGCATTAAATCTATGCATCATTTTGGTGATGTGGCCATTGTGGATACCAGTTCTGGCCTATCCAAGAACAGAGGATGTCTTTCTACTTCCTAGTGTCTTCTCTAGTATCTTTTCCCAGAGCACCACACTTTTCCTCATAGAGGTTCCTTATTTGCTTTGTTAGGTAAATTCCTAGATACTTAATTTTTTGAAGCTATTATGAATGATATCATTTTTCTGATTTATTCCTTGGTGCGTTTATGGTTGGTATATAGTAACACTTCATTTTTGTGTGTTGATTTATTTATTTGGTACAGGGTCTCACTACACAGCTCAGACTTGTAGTGACCTTCCTGTCTCAGCCTCCCCAGTGCTGGGATTACAGACGTGCACCACCATGCCTGGTTCAAGGCTGGCACAGTGCAACCAGGGTTCCAGGAGTGGCATGGCATGCAGTACCAGGGATCAAACTTAAGACACTGAGCTTTCCAGGTAGGTGCTTAGACTGCTGAGTTATCTCTCCAACCCTTGTATGTTGATTTTGTGTGTTGAAATTCTGCCACTTTGCTGAATTTATTAGTTTTTAGAGTTTTCTGGTGGGGTTTCTTTGGGGTCTTCCATGTACAAGATCACATGATCTACAAAAAAAGCTAGTTTGATTTCTTTCTTTCTTATCTGAATTCCTTTCATTTTTTTTCTCTTCCTTGAGTACTCTGGCTAAAGTTTTAAGTACCATAGTAGACAGAAATAGTAAAAGTAGATAGATACTTGTGTTCCTGATTTCATTTCATTTTTTATTTTTAAATTAATTATTTGGTCTTTTGAGAAAGGGTCTCCCTGTGTAGTTCAGGCTTGTGCCTTATTTTAGAGGGGATGCTTTCAGCTTTTTCCCATTTAGTATGTTGTTAGCAGGAGTCATAAGTGATTTTTTTGATCAATTTAAGATAAGATCCTTCTATACCTATCATGAATGGGTGTTCATTCAATTTTATCAAAGGCCCTTTCTGCATATATTGAGATGATTGCCTGATTTCTATGCTCCCTTTTGCTTATATGTTATATTACACTTATTGACTTACACCTGCTGATTTTTCATCCCCGGGATAAAGCCAAATTGGTTATGGTCTAACACCTTTTCAATGATTTGTTGCATTCCGTTTGCCAGAATCTTGCTGAAGACTTTTGGGTCTATGTTCATTAGGGTGATTGGCTGTAGCTTTCTTTTGTTGTTGAGTCCTTGTCTGATTTTGGTATTGGTGTAGTTCTAGCTTCAAGGAATCCATTTGGCAGAGCTCCTCCCCCCTCAGTTTCATGGGAGAGTTTGAAGAGTATCAGCATTAGTTCTTCTGTGAAGACCTGGGAAGTCTGTAGTGAAGCCACTGAGGCTTGGAACTTTCTTAGTTGGCACTTGTGCTTACTTCTGCCCCTCTTTCATTGACTATTTTTGACCTTATCAGGGTTTTTATAGGTTCTTTGTTTAGCTTTGGTAATTCATATGTGTCTAGCAATTCATCCATTTCTTTCTTCCTTTTTCTTTTTTTTTTTTTTTTTTTTTTTGTGTGTGTGTGTGTGTGTGGCCAGCTCAGCCCACACTAGGAGCAGAGCTACTGTGGCATGTGGTGCCGGGGATCGAACTGCGGTGTCTGAGCTTTTTGCCTAAGCTTGCTTAAGCAGGTGCTTTAGACCACTGAGCTATCTCACCAGCCCTATGATGTAATAGTATGCAGGAGATTTTTACAATTATTTTGTATTCACTTAATATGTTCCCACTGGCTTGAACCACTGGCAGTACATCATGACTGCCCCTTCAGACAGCTTGTACCACTAATGGTAGAAATAGTACAGTCAGAGCTGGGGAGATAACTCAGTGGCATAATGGCCTGACTGGCAAGTGCAAGATAATGAGCTCAATCCCTGCTACTGCAATAATAATAATTAATAATAATAATAATAATAACCAACTGTTAAAGAATCTCTTCCTATATATATTTTCTTATTTTGTTTGTGGTGCTAGAGATTGAACCCAGGCCTTTGTGCATGTTAAGCAAGTATTCTATTACTAAGATACAGCCTCAGCTCCCCTATGTATGCTATGTGTATATGTGTGTGTGTGCGTGTGTGTGTGCACACTCAATCTGAATCTCTCTGTGTTTCTCTCTGACTCTCTGTCTCTCTGCTCATGCTTTTCTGCTTGCTTCTACTCCTTCCCTCACCTCAAGGAGGCCAGAGTTGAAGCCCCTGCACAAGTGGGATCTTCTGTCCCTTTTAGATCAAGTCATCCCATTCCTGTCCCACACCTTTCTCGTTGCTGAGACATAATACTTCACACCCACAAGTTCAAGAGGAAAGGTTTATTTTTGGCTCATGGCTTATAAAGATTTTAGCTCACATGTGGCTGGATCCAAGGCATGGCAAAGGACAAACCACTCGTGGCATGGCAGGCAGGAAGCAGAGGATGATCAGTGGAGGAGGAAGGGAGATGTATGCTTACGTGCTATTCTACCAGTGACCTCCCTCCTGTCATCACGGTTTACCTCACAACATGACATTTAACTGTAAACCCATGAGCAGACTAGTCCGCCAAGTATCATGCAACCACCCCCAGAAGCCAGGACATAAATCATAACATTCTGTCCCTGGCTCCTGAGAGGCTTATGCACATCCCATTATGCAAAATGCATTGTCTAATCCATATCTAAGAGTTGCCAAAGTCCTCACAGATTCAACATTGCCAAAAAGTTCAAGTCTAAAATTTTCTCTGAAATTTTAGCTGTGAGTTCCTGTAAAAATGAAAAGAAAGTCAGGGCTGGCCTGATAGCTCAGCAGACTACAGTGGCTGCTTAGGCAGAGCGCAGCGGTCAGAGGTTGACCCTCACCGTGCCATACCCGACTAGGCGTGGTGGCCCGTGCCTGTAATCCCAGCACTTGGGAAGCTGAAAACAGGAGAATCACTACGAGTCCAATCTACTTAGTGAGAACCTATGAACCCTGTAGACCCTGTCCTAAATACGAAAAGAAGAAAAGAAAAGAAAGTTAAATATTGACAACATAGAAAGGCACAGGGTAAACATTTCCATTCCAAAAGGGAGAAATAGGGGATAGAAAGGAACAGGACCAAAGCAACCCAGAAGGGCAAACATTAAATCCTGTAGTTCCATGTCTAGCAGTCAGGTTATGTTGTGGTGAGACGCAAACTCCAAAGCACCTGAGTGGCCCTGACCCTCCCTATACTGCTGCTGGTGGTTGTAGCTCTCACAGCTATTCTCTTGGGCCATCTTCATTCACTCATTGTGCCTTTCCTCAGATTTTCCACTTTCCTAGATTTTCTAACATTCTGAGGTCTCCTACACTGCACACTGAACTTTTAGTTTTACTTTTATAGCTTCACATACTGCTCTCTCAGGAGTATACTGCCTGACCTTTCTGAACCCACAACTTGCAAATCTACATCCGTATAGAACCAGCACCGTGAAAATGATGCCAAGGTCTACTGCCGGCTCAAGCAGAAGCCAGGCTACCTTGTATCATGACTGCAGAGGTCTTCAATTGCCTACAGGGCCAAGTGCAATGAACCTATGCACTGAATCAAAGGGCACAAATTCCCAGGCAACCCTCATTCTGGAGCACGGTGCTCTGGGGCTCTCTTCTCGGAGCAGTCTTTCACTTTTGTAATTTTAAGCCTGCACAGGATAGGGTCTCACTGGTTCCCTACATATTCGCAAGGCACTCTTCCTATTGTAAAGCACTTGCCTTTTTTTTTTTTTAATGCTATTCATTTTAGCTACAATCTCTCCTCTGCTGCATCTTTGCAGGCCCAACAACTGGAGAGCTTCCTTTCAGGCCAAACTGAAAATATTTTTCACTTTTTCAGCTGGGGAGATAGCTGGGAGGTCTAAGCACCTGCTTGGCAAGTGCAAGGACACAGGTTCAATCCCTGGTACTGCATGCTGTGCTGGCCCTAGAACCCTGAGCACACAGTGCTAGCCACTGAAACTGGGCATGGTGGTGCATGCCTGTAATCCCAGTGCTGGGGAGACTGAGGGAGAAGGATCACTATGAGTTCGAGCTGCATAGCAAGACCCTGTACCAAATAAATAAAGGTTTTTTTTTTTTTTTTTTTTTTTTGTGGGACCGGGGATTGAACTCAGGCCCTTGAACTTGCCAGGGAAGTCCTTATTCCAATGAGCCATCTCCCGGGCCTAAACAAAGATTTAGAAAAAGAAAAACTTAATTTTTTTGTTTGTTTGTTTTTGTTTTTTTGCACTTGGAATCAAACTCAGGACCAGGCAGGTACTGCTCCACTAAGCTATAAGCCCAGCCCCTGACAGCTTTTTAAAGTCATTCAGTTGTGCCATTTGCTCTTGATTGTCAACATAGACCTGGCTAAAAAGCCCATAGCAATATTCACGCCACAGCTTCAGTATTCAATGTTCTGAGCCACATGGTCACAGCACAGACTGGTACTGAAATCTGTCTTAGGTAACACCTGAGATCATCAACTTAGAAAGGAAAGGCTTATTTAGGTTCTCAGTTTGTAGAGATGTTCAGTCCGTGGTTGCCTGGCTCCAAGGCCAGGTGATGTGGCAGAGGGGCAACAGTTCCTGGAATGGCAGGCAGGAAGCAGAGAGACAGACAGACAGACAAGACAGAGAAAAAGACAGAGACAGAGACAGGGAGAGAAATCAAGGGAGAAGGGAGGACATATCCTTCCGGGCCACGCCCCCAGTGACACACCTCCTCCATCCAGGCTTCCAATCACATTTAGCCATAAGCCCATTAGTGGACTAATCTGATGAATATCATGCACCCGTGATCCAATTACCTCCCCAAATCTCCACCTATGAACTTATGAGGCTTTGGGGGAACAACCAGATATAAACTGTGTCACTGCCCTCCCTTAATGGCTGTGGTTGATAAGATCAAGCCAAGAGTCCAGCCAGCCTGAGTATTACTGGAGCTCTGGCTCCAGATTTGGAAGGCAGAGCATTTCTATTGTTTATGATTCCCAGGAGGATGTGCGAATGGGATCACAGGGCAGATCCAGGCAGCGGGGCTCTGGGCTGCTTCAGTCAGTCCTGGAGGCAAGAGTGGGGTAAGAAGGTCCTGCCAGCACCTGGCTGGCAGCTTTATG